ATGACCTTCTGGCTGTTAACGCATTAGAGTAGTGACAAATAATTACATTGAATTATTATTATTATTTATGCCGGGCTGGCCCAGGAGAAAGACTTGCTTGTTTTAAGGTACAAGTTCTAAACTGTTTCTTGTGGAAAGTGAAGTTCCCTACTAGAAATTCGTCTGTCAGCTATTTAAACTCAGTAACGTTCAAGTACATAGACACTTACAGAGTCATTTAAAATACATATTCATGTTTTAGATCTTTATATATTTCCTTCATTATGTTATTGCACGGAAGTGAAATTGAAAATCACTTATTATGTAGGTACGAAATTTGTCTATCAAGATGTGTTAGAAAGATCTTAACGAGACCACACATTTCACTGCTGACGGTTTTCGACACATTTTCTCGTGACCATCATTGGCAGCTTGTCAGCAGAAAATTACAAATGTAGTCCTAAGTTCTAGAAACTTAAAATGTCTTGGAGTAATCCGCCCCAATTAGGACAACATTTACTAATGGAACCCGTTCTCCAAAACTTTTTTGTGTAGATATGCCTATTCTCCAGTATTCTGATCAGCAAAATAACTTTGGAATTTCTGCTGTGTTCATTTATCTTCTTCCTGATAGATGAACACAGAAATTATATGGAAGCATCCGCGACGAACGCTGCCAAGCAATGGACTCCTTGATTTCCACTTCAGTAGTATATAATCATGTATTATGAAATAATTTGGTTTGTCATGTTGACTCGTTTCGAATTTCCTCCGTAATCCATAATGAATATTCACCACCTCAGCAACAATTATTCTTAAACGAAACTTGAGGCAAGAAGAGAACGTCAGTCAACTTACCAGATAACAAAGCTGTTACTTTCATTTATTGTAATAAAATCCCAAGCAGAGGGAGGGTCTGTGTTTGTTAAACGGAACAGATTAATCAGAGTGGTAATGCGTCAGAAATTTCGTTTGGTAGGTTCCAATACCGACGGGGAGGTGAAATTGTTATTTTCTGAATTATACCGAATAATACGCATTGCTCGGTTGTCCTCCCATCTGTTTATAGTTTCTGAATACATGAACCGCGAAATGAAATATTTGATGGGGTTGACCTTTTTTTTCCAGCAACCTCTCTCACGTACGCTTTGCGTGACAAGTATGCCTGATAGCTTCGTTGCCAACTGTACTTGAGTTCAGCTCGCTCCTTCATTCACAGCGTCTTCTCATGTCTCCAGGGTGAATGTGTTTACAGTCATTAGCAGAATAAATCTAAATTACTTACACTGTTGGCAACTTTCATAGAATTCTATCACATACCGTGGGCGACGTTCGTGGGCGGAGGTTAACATGAAAAACGGAACGTAAAATGTCATATGGCGGACCAGAATTAAATTATATTTGTACTGAAACTTACGTCTTTAGGGTTTACGCCACTTTCTGAATGAAGTACGTATAATGCCCGAAAAAGCGGAACGTAACCCAAGCTGCCTCAAAATGTACTGAAATTTGTCTGTTTTAATTGTAGGATAAACGCAAAAATAAATATTTTAAATCTGTTTATTCTCGTGGGAAATGCATTGTTCGTTGAACATTGTTAACTACACCCCATGCTGAAATGTCTCTAATTATTACTTTCAAATTTTCTGACATGTTCAACAGACTAAGCACGAAAATTAACAAATAGCCTGTATCGTGTAGGCCTTGGGAGGATGCATGAGACGCAGGAAAGTGTTGCCACTGTAATTTAATTTGTAGCGTATTTAGAACCACGTGTTTATTAATATTTTGATCAAAACGTTGCAGTGTCCTTGCCTGCGTCCCGGTTACAAACTTATCTTTAATTGGAATCGTTGGAAACTTTATAAAGCCAGCACCAGAGTTGTGTATTGGGAATGTCCTGTTGTATTTCCACACAGGTAAATAAACAAAAAAATATTCCATCTGCATTTCCTAACTTTCAAATATGAGTAAATGAAACTTCAGTTGAAATCGTAATGGTAGAGTGATATTGTCAAGTGGACACTGAATTTTATGCCAGAGCCACTTATGTCACGATGAAACAAGTGCCTCATTTAAGATGGTTGTCTTCTGGGTTGTCGCACCGCGTATTCTGGTAAACGTGACTCTACATTTCAGAGGTACTTGCTGCTTCATCATCAGGTGAGCAAGCACCTCTGTAACGTAGGTAAACTTCCACCATACAACACGGCGTAACATCCCAGACGACAGCCACCTTCATATTACCTGCGCTGAGAACCTGAAATCTCACAGTGCCTGGACCACAGTGACTTTCTCCATCTGTATGGTTAAACATGGAGCCCCAGTGCGTTCCAAATACATTTCTGAGATGTTAACAGCGGACTAGATTGAGAAGTACTGAATGTTGTAGTTAAGTATCTATCACTACTGTTCGTGTTCGTGAGGTTCCTGGTTCGAATATCGAATAGGAAGCCCCTTAGCCAGGCATAGAGGTTTTGTTGTTGTACTTAGCCTGTTCAGAAATATTACATTAAATTGACATTATTTTTACACATTTAGTCTACCATTCGACATTACGTAACCCACACAGTTCATAAAGCGTCGTTAAATAACCGAACTACCGCGTAGCAGGTTGTCATTTCAAGCATAAGCAATCTTTTATTTTAATATTGTTATTTATGTCATGTTATTAAAGTGTTATTTTTGTCTAATGCTACTCAGTATTATATTAAATTCGTTAGGGGTCTGTGTGCGGGATATTGGAATTCCTGGACACATCTCCCGTGTATTAATTACAAGCTATCAGCATAAACGTGAGCGCAGTTGTTACTCGGTTATTCAGGACCTTTGTGCAATACAGGGCATCTATTTTGGAACGAGTTCTCTGTACTGAAATAACGAAAAATTCTATGTAAACAAAAATTCTTGGACAACAAAGTATAATGCGTCCATAGAAGAAGTGTTTATTTACAGGTCTCTGATTTTATCGTTACATATTATTGTTCCAACAATAAGAAATTACAAAGAAAGCTCAAAGTTTTGTCTTTTTTGCTTCCACACAGATCACTTCTTTTCTCGTTAAAAATTGTCGCACGCGCTCAGGAACTCCAGGCGAGTTACGATTAACTCGTAACGGCTTCTACCCTCTATTTTAGTTCTGTGAATTCATTGACTGCTGTAGCATATATAATACGTTTAAGAAGTCCCCATAAATAAAAGTTCAGTGGGTTTAAGTCAGGTGATCTTGCTGGCCATAGCTTTAAAACGAAGCGTCCAATGACTCATGTTGTTTTAGTGTACAGGATATGCCTCTAAAGTGATACCGTGGATTTCAGAAACATCCCATATTTCTAGCGTAATGTTCCACGGAGACACTAATTACATTACCCAGTAATGAGGGTAATCCTTCCTCAGCCTCATGGCTGAGTGATTACAGAACATTTTCCTAGAACTCGCAGCAGGTGTCCATGCACTTGTCAATTCCACGGCTTAGGTCTCAAGATGTCCTCTGTTAATTATGGAACAGAATTTCTTTCCTTTAGAAATGAGATGAATCCTGCAATTCAAACATGTTTAGTGTTTTCGAAATTACATACATGGTAACTGAGTGAACCTGTGAGTTTATGTTTCATTATTTTTATATTTTAAATTCTATTATTGATGATTTTGTATAAAATAAATAATCCGTTTATGTAATAATATATTAAAATTTCTACGAACCTAAGTAGACTACAAAGCTCGTGCCTTTTTATGAAATAATGCACAGCAGAATGGTATGTTATTTTATATGTAGCGACAACGGTGAAAGTGTATCTGACGCTAAAGGGAATAAATAAGCATATTGAAATCAATATTAACTGAGCAGTGCGAAGACCAACACCCATTCTTATTACTCGTGTTACAACAGTAAATTCTGTCTCAGTATTGCTTTTTGCTCTGAACATCAGTCAGAGCACAAGGAAGGGACAATATTACAAGAGCACGATATTTATTATAATTTCAATATATAGCTTAAAGGATAAAATATTTTTTTGGAAAGAATAATCTCAGTCCTCGAGTGTGACAAAGAGGGGAGTCGATGTGATACAATTTGACAATATATAAGCCTTAAAGATGGAGGCAGTTTTTTTACGGAAATTATGGTATCTACAAACAAGTCCACACGGCGCTGCAACCCAGAAGGGCAACAAGTTTTTTTTTATCGCCGTGAGATTCTTAAATCTCCGAAATAAAATCCGCCTGAAGTGCTAAATCTTGACGCTCCAAAAAATCATTTCTTTCTTTTTTGGGGGGAGGGAGGGAGTTAGTCTTACGCTTTTCTTGTTTCAAATTCAGAAAAGTCACTCTCCATTAGTGTTGTGAATTTTACGATTTCGAATAATAGATATTGTATAAGTTTCGATAGTATTTTTAAGTGTTTATAACAGATGAGATCTATTTCACATATTATTAAGTTAAACTTATTAATAGTTATCGTATGCACATGTGAATACATAACAATGTCGCTGGACGAAAAAAATTGGTGTTGTAGGTGTAGAAATCCTTGGCCATATCTTAGGCTGCTAGACGCCAGCTTCTGAACTAAGAGACCCGGGTTATTTCAAATGAGATTTGTGGTGAATGACATTGGGGCAGGGAGTTTTATTCGAATTGTTCACTTATTCTATTCCAATCACCATTTCACAATTATCTACACTCATCCATCATCGTCACGAAAGTTGCGCGATAGCTCTGGCCAAGCAGCCTATTATCATACCCTCTGTATTAATGTAGGGCTTCACTCCGGGACTTGGCACTTTGCTGGTCCCGAAGTGAAGCCCAGATTGTGAGCTTAATTCTGTGCTTGTAGATAAGGAAGTATTTAGCATTTCTGTGCATTTAGGTCGTTCAAGGGATATGATTTACTTCTTTCAAAGAATGAAGTAAACTGACAATAACTGTGAAGAAGTATGAATGCAGTACTGGGAAACGAGACCACAACAACAAACAAAGCCCAATTGTTTTTGCCGAATGTTAAATTCTATTATTGTTCTTTTCAGATATTTGGATATACACATCACCAGAACATTCGATCTCATCCATCTAGCCACATCTTCTGGTGTCTCCCTGCAAACAGTACGATTGGTTTATCTGTGAGTACAGATTTTACAATTGCCCGTGACGATCTTCAACGTTATAACTTCTGAATTTATTTTTACATTTTTAACTTAAATCAAGACTGTATTATGCTTTACCATTCGTTGGTGTTAAATGTTCTGTACATTTAGAATTCGATTAAGTACGTGGTTTACATGTATACTTCTAGAATATGTTTCAAATAATACCGGAAACGAACTGTTTACATAGATGAGTGATTCCAAAACTATTTAGTGGAATTGTAGTAACCCGTCGAAATATACCTCCAATGAAAGATTTGTAGACTATGTAACCTACATCTCTCTGCCTCGCAAATCCAGTTCTCTAGCTGTACTCCCACAGTTCGGAAAACTTGTGGTAAGAAAAACAAATATATTCCTGTCCGTATTCACAGGTACCGGAATTTAATTTCTGTCCACTCCTTCTTCTTTTGCCGCACAGAACGCTCGGCGCTGCGTTCTTTTTATACCCGCTGCTTTAATTCCGGCGTGGGGTTCTATCACCATTCACAGAAGCAAGAAATTTTTCCAGAAAATATTTGAAAAAGTTGATAAATATTTGTGTACCCGTAACTTGTAAATTAAAATAATTTTTCCTCCTTCCATGTTTAGAGTTTTTCTGACGATGTTATGTTATTACGTCAATTCAGTTCTTGGTCGACACTGTTAATAGTCCATCGTTAATCTTGTAAAAAAGGAGTAGGTGTGTAAAATTAATTATAAAAAGAAATTATTATTCTGCTCCTGTTTAAAAGTTTAATTGAAGCTTATTCTATTTGATAAATGTCCATCGAATATTATTCTTGTTCCTATATTCGGCATCATAATGGTTTTTACTAATATATAATATTGCCCATTCGGTTAAGACAGTTTTTTAATTATATTTGTAATATTTTTATTTATATTATAATTCTTTCACACGCTTTGTATAATTGATTGACTTAATTTTTCGCCATTTGTGTGTTCATAGTCCAAGTTTCATCCTCATATGAAACAATTTCGAAGGTGTTTTTTATTGACTGTTTTGTGTGATTATGACTCTTGGTCTGTCACAATAAATAATATAGGTGTTTAAATAAAACTGCCTAGGGGAATATTTGGACCTAAGAGGAAGGAACTGTCTTTCAATATTTAAGCATTGTATTGATTACCTCATTATCAGCCACACAAGTATTTCACATCCCAACCAGATTAATGTGAAACTGGTTCTGTAATCGACTATGGAATTATTGTGTCACAGTGTATCAAGTGTTTCCCTTTAAACTACATATTTGTTTCTTTTCCATGATATGATCATAATGAAGATTCATATAAACGAAAATTGTTCTGAAGAATTTATGGTGCTCGATTTCTTATAGTCACCTGGCATACGGATATGGAAAATAGCTTAAATTAAGTTACCTTATCGAAGCCACTGCAGTTTCAGCAGATAAAGAGTGCAGTACCTTTCAACATGCTGAGAACGTTTACTGACACGTGTGACTGCTCGTCATTCGCTCATCCACACATACTACAGGGCAATGTAATCGGAAGTTTCTTCGTAACATCACTCACTTCTAAACAAACTACACTATTTGTTATTAATTGTTCCACAAGTTTTATGGTAATTGTGTTGTTTTTGGTTTTGGCACCGTTTATAAGCCTAATGCTCTGTAGATTCCAACGTTTCGGAGAAACATACTGTCTCTATCTGCGGGGTTGAAGTGGGGTCCAGTTATGTCAGAACTCTTCAGATTTTGATCATTGCGGTGTTGGACGTGAAATATGATTGTCGATAATAAAAAATCATACGTATCTCCATAGGATTTTCGATGTTAGGACACGCGATCAGGTATACCGAGTCCCCAGAATTTACTATTTTATAGCAAATGTAACCGTTCCTGAATCCCTTATGATTTAATGCTTATTATTCCCCTACGCGTCTCCGCTGACTCGAACCAGTGCCTCCTCTTGAGGTAGGCGACAGGACGAAGCCAAGCCAAGGACAGGGCGAAGAAAGGTGCGTCATTACAGTCAGTGCAACGGGAAGCGTTGGGAAGAGTAGGATATTCGGGATTCTTGAAGCCCTACACCGAAACAAGACAAGAATTGCGATGCGCAGACACGCTACGCCGAACGTCTTATCACCGGTCGGTGCGGCACCTGACGTCCATTCGTCGACACAATGCAACATGCATCACGACGACGGTCCAAGAGACGACGATAAGGACGACGGTAAACAAACCGAGGTCATGCGTCGCGTCTTTGGTCATCCCTACGACGAGTGTCGCGACGCGAAGACACCCGAAGGCAAGTCAAGTGACCGCGAGCCACGTGACCTCGAGCGTCTCGAATCTGTCATTGGTTGGATAACCACTGGTTTTTGTTAGAGTATAGTCGTTAGTGTTCATACATCCAATTGTAAGTGTATCGTTGAGTAGAGCAGCACTTCCGGTATGACATTCTTCCCACTGTTTTATGTTGTTAGTCCAAATATCTGCGATTATTGAAATGTGTTGATACACCACTACTGCATGACGCCCTCGATATGAAATACTTGGGAAATATACTGGTTGATTTGTGTAATATAAGTAGGCAGGCAGCATAAAAGAGCAAGTTTAAAAGTAACGAAACAATTTTATTATAATATACATGACAGATTTTACTATTACGTTTTTCAACAAAGTTTTTTAATGCCGACAACACAATATATAAGTTGTTTATTTAATATATGGTAATAAAACGTTCACAAAATTTTATTCGCCAAATCGGACATCATCCGGTGTGTAGATACGTTGAATTTCATACACATGTCCGAAGATATCTGTGTGTTAGTTTTCGCTGTCACCTCCCCGCCCGAACATAGCTGTCACCGCCTTTCCTCAACCACAAGCTCCTCTCTCATGAATCATCAACAATGCATTTATCTCGCACCTACCGCCTGCCCTATATAAGGAATTCCCGTTTTAGTTATGAGACTCTTTCAGCCGAAGCGGCCCCACTCTCTCCGGGTTCAAACCCCAGAGAACCATTCAACCAAAATCCTTTGCCCGAAGGACAAGTTGCCTAACGGGATAACCTCTCATCAGCAGCGACAGACCCTAATTTGAATGAAAAGTCCAGGCTTCCGCCGCGACAAAACCCCCGTTAGCTTAAGCAAATTCGCGCTTTAGTTATGAGCCCTTGGTTAGCTTTTTGGTTGGTTGGTTGCCCGACTTCATATCAACTACATAAGAGTTAATGTACCAAGGGTTTGATAATAGAAAGGAGGAGGAAGAGGTATGGGATATTTGCATACAACATCCCCTGTTCTATTCTAATTCGATTTTGTTCCTATCTCTGGGCTAAAGATCCGTGTCACATCAGGCCATCGCGTCGATTTCACCTGCAGGTAAATAAGTTAAGGACGACGTCGACTTCCCAGGCCTTCACGCCTGACATCATAACTGACCATCGAAGCCTTATCATTCTACCCAGGCAAGAATAATCTAGATTTATATTCGCCACATTCAATTTTCTGTCATTTTTTTAGTATTTTAATATCTTACACCTCCTTTTTATTAGCTAGAAACCTTATAATATCTTAACTTTTATTTATTCGTAAGTACTAATTTAATATTAGTACGTAAATTCCGTAGATAAAGACGTATCTAAAGCGCCGTTGAGACGTCGCTCGGGCCATATAAAAACTATATGTGAATAGTTTTCGATATTTGTACCTCGTACTGTAAACTGCCGTCTCTCCGAATGTACACATTGCATTCTTTCTTATCGAAAACAGCGCACTTATTTGTTGTAAATATATTATCCGGATCACATAGAAAATATTTTGACGTGCTGTATGCGGAGATACTTCCAGACCCATTGGCTTTCGTAATCGATATTTTGTATTTATAATTGAGCGTTTTGTACCGCAGCCTTACGTGGTGGAGACAAAAACGTACTTTGTGTTCTGCCACTCTGATGTTCATGAAGAATATTTCGCCCATACAGAAAATGGCTTTCATCCAGTCGATATCATAATGTGGATCACTGCAGTCTTCTAAATTTAAACACAGCTTTGTATTTTGTAATTTAACAGTAGCTATATTGTGCTTCATCCGAATATGAGTTTTAACATTGGTCACATTGCTCCAACCAGGGGCAAAGTGTTTCTGGGATAGAAGAGAATGGACATTTGAACGGACGGTGACGGCAGTTGTTTTCGTGTGTCCTTGAACCCAGAAAATTAAACGCCTTTCTGCATCCACGTTTTGAAAATCTGCAGGGAAACCTCATTTTTATAACCAAATTTTTCAGAAAGTAGGCTTCTGGCTTTTGAAAATAGGGGCCTGCAGACTGGACAGGTCAGAAGTTTCTCTCTGCAGGTGGAACAAGTACTGTGCCCGTTCATGCACATGGCGATTGGTGGTAGCATGTACTCCATACATACTGGACACTCCACCTCCTCTAGCAGTCGTTTTAAGCCGAGAGCCATTACTAGATCCGAATGTTCATGCCTTGAAGAAGGAAAGAAAGATAGAAAGACATTGTAGATGCGTAGTAGCAGTAATATCGGGGATGAAGTTCATCTAAACAATGTAGATCTGATATAGAACTTTCACCTTTAGTTTGCCAAGACCAACACACGCTACTATTACTACAGAGGACTTTTACGGATGTTTTATTGAACATTAGAACACCAACTGGGTGTGTGGGGCTCGGTTTATAGGACCCGGGCAGTGAATGGAGTAGCCTGCCCCTTGCCAATGGGAGCAGGTCCGGTTCCTATAAACATAGCCCCCTCCACCCAACTGGCACATTCATCGCCCTGATGACGGAGGCAGTATGACCTCAGAAACGTTTGAAACATCTACCACACTACACGGCGCAACAACCCAGAAGAGAGAAATCTTGATACTCAACGCCGTGAAAATCTCAAATCTTACTTGCAATCATCAGGTTTGTAGATATTTTCAACGTCTTGAACATTTACTAAAATTGTTGTCCGTAGTCTTTTGTGGCTGGACTTCATAAAA